TCGCCAGGACCGGGCCCGCCATCGCCATCGACGACCTGACCCGCCCGCTCTTTGCCGACGCAGTACCCGAGCGATCTCTGGGCTGCGACGCTCTGCTCTACTCCATGTATTCCATGGCCGCCTTGCATCAGGGTTGCCAGAATGGCCACGGTCTGTCGGTTGCTGCCTCGTTGGACGTGCACCGTCGATACTTGGCCATGGCTCTGCGCGAGCACCAGGCATCGCTGCAGGCCATTAGCGCCCAAAATGTCGACGACATCTGCATGACATCTAGCCTGCTTCGCGTTTGCGCCTACGCTACGCTCCAGACGCGGCCTCTTGAACCCTACTCCCCCCGTCCGAGTGGCTGATGATCTGCGGCACTGCCATTGCCCTCTACGAAAAGGCATGGGACGTTGTCCAAAAGCGGCCTGACTCGCTGGCCTATAAACTGATCCGGAGCCCCTACGCCCTGGAGTATGATGTGCAAGAAAACAAGCGCATCCCGCCTACCTTCGACGCCTTGCTCACGAGAGAGAAGGGCGATGCAGATCCCTGGGACCCCGAGTCGCTGGATGCCTATCGGCAGGCGTCGTACCTTCTCGGTATCGTGCAATGCGCCATGCAAGAGGGAGAGCCCGACGGCCACGTGTGTAGGCTCCTTGTTTGCTTTCCCATGATAGTCCGGAGGCGCCTGTTCGACCTCGTCAACGAGCGGCAGCCGAGAGCACTTGCACTGCTAGCCTACTACTTCGCCTTCCTGCATAGCTATGAGCACATATGGTGGATCGGCCCGGCCCCGGCGCAAGAGGTCCTCGCCATTGCTGACGAGCTATCCACGCATGCACGCTGGCTTCCAGTGCTGCGCTGGCCGCTGGACAAGACCAAAGTACGATCCGAGTCCGAGGCTGATGACGTTAAGTCCTGGACATCGGCCGAAAAATAATAAGCACTGGCAGCACGGCCACTTCTGCTTATGGGCATCGTGCTCGGGTTCGCCAAAAACGGTTAGACAATCCTTTCTCGCAAGTGCCCAATTAGGAAATCGTTCTCGCAACGCTGGGGCTCAGAGGTTGTCGACAGTCGTCACCCTCGCGTTCTGACGGTTCGAATGGATTACCGTTCATGAGGCTTGACACTCATCATGAACTGGGACGAGTGTATATAAAACTCCGTTGGCCTCAAGATGCTCTTTGTGTCTTTGCCCATAACTCCCGGCATCCTCTCCAATCTTCACTTAGTCTATACCCTAAACTCCGCAAATCTAGACGAGCGTCACAGCGAGCAACCATGGTGTTCAAAGCTATACTCTTCCTGCTTCTACTTCATCTTGTAGAGGGCGCTCCTCGATCTATTTCCTCTCGCAATTCGACTCACCCGAGTCCTTCACAAAACCACACAATGCTACAGTTAAGTAGTGACGTTACCTTCAACTACGAGATCCTCCGTGTGCTCGCCGTGGCGCCCTATCAGGGCTCGGATGTCGGCGAAGTCTTGGACGCTGCCGCTGAGATCCAGCCAGGCGATTTTGAGAGCTTCTACAGGGCTTTCTCCAAAGCCGCCGATCGTGTGCACAAGATTGCGAATGCCATCGACGCACACAAGCATCCGGTGTCGGCGAGGAACGCCCGCTTCCGCGAGGCCACCTACTATCGCTCGGCAGACTTCTTCCTCCACGGAAACTGGTCCGACCCTCGCATCAACACGCTGTGGGCGAAGCACCTTGCGGCATTCAACAAGGCCATCGCCCTTCTCCCCGTCCCTGGCCAGCGCGTCACGCTCCAGGGCGACGGCTTCAAGATCCCGGCTGTGTTTTACGGCTCCGGTCGCAAGGAGCCCCGGCCAACTCTCATCATGTGCAACGGCTATGACGGCGCGCAGGAGGAGCTCTACCACGTCATGGTCGAGGCTGCGCTGCAGCGTGGCATGAACGTCATCACCTTTGAGGGCCCCGGCCACCCTACGGTGCGCCGCGAGCAGAATCTGGGCTTCATTCCGGAGTGGGAGAAGGTGGTTACGCCGGTGGTCGACTACGCGGTGAGCCGCAAGGAGGTAAACCCCAAGGCCATCTCGCTGATGGGTTACTCCTTTGGCGGATACCTCGCCCCGCGCGCCGCCGCATTCGAACACCGCATCGCTGCCGTTCTCGCCATCGACGGCCTCTACAACTTTGGAGAAGTCATTCTCCACCAGATTGGCCCCCAGCTCACGGAGCTGTGGCGCCAGGGCAACTACACGTTTGTGGACGAAACCATCAAGGGGCTGCTGAACAGCCCGTCGACGCCGACACCGGCCCGCTGGGGTATCGGGCAGGGCCTCTGGTCGTTCAATGTGCAGTCGCCGTCGGAGTGGATCACCAAAGTGCAGGCCTACTCGCTCGAGGGAGTGGTGGACAAGATCCGCTGCCCCGTGTTTGTGGGCGACGCCGAGAACGAATCCTTCTTCCCGGGCGAGGCGAAGAAGCTGGCGGACAAGCTGGGCCGCCGTGCGACACATCACCTGTTTACGGCTGAGGATGGCGCGGGCGAGCACTGCCAGGTCGGCGCGTCACAGCTGCTGAACCAGGTAGCTCTGGATTGGCTTGAAGACATTGGTGTCTGCAAGTGAAGAACGATTTGCGGTTGGTGCGCGACTAATAGAAATAGATGTATACATTGGGCCAAGTACATGCAACAGGCGTTTCAATCTATAGAACAATGAAATTTTCCCTCCATTACCATGTTCGCTCACAACCCTAAAGCCGGGTACTCGGGGAGCCTGTATGGGTCCTCGGACTTGAGAATCGAGTGTTGAAACGCGCGATCCAGGCCCAGCGTCGTCGTGAGCCCCAACAGGGTGTTGATAACCTTGACGCCGAACTCGCCCTTGGGATACGCGAGTCCCGGCAGGCCCGGGGGGATTTTCTGCGTCTTTTCGACGTACGGGCGTAGTTCCTGTTCGTACGCCTTGCAGGCGGCGGGTAAGTCATCCGGGCTCTTGGAGATCTCTCCCGCGAGGACGTACGCCCCCATGAGCGCGAGGCTCGTGCCCATGCCCGTCAGCGGCGTGGGCGCATATCCTGCGTCGCCTACCAGGACGACCCTGCCCTTGGACCACAGCCCCGTACGCACCTGCACCATGGGGTGCGCGTAGAAGTCATCGGAGCGGTGCATCGCGTCGACGAGTCGCTCCGCCTCCCAGCCCGCGTCCTGGAAGATGCGCGCGAAGAGCTCCTTTTGTGTGGCCGCGTCTTGATGCAGGGCCGTCTCGAACTCTTCTGCGTGCGCCATGGTGCCGAGGTTGACCTGGCCTTCGGTCTTGGAGTGCCAGCGCACGAGCACGAAACGCTGCTTGGTCGCCGTGTAGCTGATGGCCAGGTCTGGGTCCTCGGGCTGGCGCGGGATGTTGAAGTAGGCCATGTTGACGCCCAGGTTGCGGCTGACGTCCAGCTCGGGCTCGTCCTTGAGCATCATCTTGCGGATCCGCGATCCCTGCCCGTCAGCTGCCACGAGCAGGTCAAACGCCTCGCTGGCCCCGTCCGAGAAGGCAACCTGGACACCATTATCCCGTTGGTCAAACGAGTCAACCCACACGCCGAACCGGTACTCGACCGTGTCACTTGTGATGTCGACCAGTATTCGGACGAGATCGCCGCGTAGGATCTCGAATTCGCTCGTGAAGCCCTGTCGGCCGGCCGCGTCGCCGTCGATGCGCGCAAACAGCGCCTTCTGGCGGCCGGCCGAGTCGACGACCCTGATACCCAGCTCCTCAATGACATGCCCGCGAATGGCTTCGAGGATTCCCATGCGCCGTGCCGCCTCGATGCCCTGCTTGCGGAGGTCGATTTGCTGGCCGTTGGCGCGCAGGGTCGGGAAGCGCTCGACGATGACGCATCGGTGGCCGAGGCGGGCGAGCCAGAATGCGAGCGCCGGGCCGGCGACGCCCGCGCCGGAGATGAGGACTCTAAGGGGCATTCGTGTGCGACTCGCAGTGTCTTGTAAATATCTGAGAGCTGAGTACTTGGTAGTCCGTACTTGGTACCCCGAGAAGCGAAGAATGTGGGGAGCAAAGGATTGCCACCAGATGGCAGAGTCGTGAACCACATGCCTTTCCGCATGAACTCGCGTCACACACGACGGAACTTATTTGCGTCGCACCGGGTGCCGGTCATGAGCTCGGTCGCAGAATCCATGCCGTCCTCCAACGGCCCTTCCCTCGGGCCCGAGCTTCCCGGGGCTCGCTGCCCGATATCCGGATACAACTAACATCAAGGCAGTGCAACTTCCATCCTTGGCGCGCGGCCGGTCGCTCACTGGCGGCTTGTTTGGGCCAGTGAGTTTGGGGCCCGGCATGAGGGAGGGAAAGGTTTCACCAATTGCATTACAGTTACACGACAAGTCGCGTGAGCGCCTTCACCCCAATATGCTTCGACACAGGGCTCGAGGAACTCGCCGTTCAAAGAAGTCTCGGATCGTATTTTCAAGGTGCTGTTGGTCTACACATAGGTCGAGTAGAAGTCCGTACGGAGGGCAGACTCCAATTTGCGCAATATCGCTTGGCTGATGAAAACTCGCTGTTGAATTGGGCCAAGCACAGACGCTGTTGGTTCCTAACCATGATGCACTGCAGCGTCTTTTATCGGTAACAGAAGCTCTGAGCACAGGCACCGCCGACCCAACAGGGCGGGAATCCGGCGCGGTAACCCATGGTATGCTGGACTGCTTCGTCTCCATTCCGAGCTTGAGGTTGTCACAGCTCGGTAGCGGCACCTAGCCCAACTTCAGCCGACCCGAGCCCGGTACGCTACGGCAGGCCCAACAGCGCTTCCCCTTGACATATGGATACGAGGTTTGACCGTCTGGAGGTCCACAAATGATCCCCAAGCGACTGGACGGGAAGTGCGAGGCTTGGAATGTTTGATGTTGATCAGAAGTTCCACGTTGAAGACTCGACCTCAACTGTGGCCGCAAACCCAGCCTAATGCCCCCAGCCTGAACACACACAGTACCGATATAAGTCGAATAGCTTCACCTGACTAGCACATACGACCACAGGCAGTGTAGAATACTGGATCCCGTTTGCTCTCCGTGCGTCAAGCCACTGACCGGCAGATTAGTAGTTGGGTCGGTGACGACCAGCGAACACCGGCTGTTGTATGTTTTTTGTTCCTTTTTTTTTTCTTCTACGTTTCGATGTTTTTTTAAGTGTATTTTAGCATATCAATGTTTTGCCCTTGCTTTCCCGTCAAGCTGTGTTGGAGCTGTGCTCAAGTTCAGGTACGTGTTGTTGTTGAATGCACACCACTGGTTACATATAGCCAGTGCCTTTCACGCTTAAATTGGTCATCTCTTCAGATTCACTACATCAATATTACTGAGCATTGTCTAGCTCGATGCTTAATTGCAAGGCGCTCCATGGGTTCAATCTGCGCAGGCCATCCGATGGCCCGACTCTAGAAAAGTTCCCCTTCGCTTCGTGTGGCTGGCACAAACCAGACACAATGACCACATCGGAGGCAGTAATAGCTAGTAGACCCTCAGTCTTCCTCCTCCAATCTCTCTATCTGACTTGCAAAAGTGGCGCTACACGTCCTCAGAGGAACCGCCTCGTTTGTCAGGGAATATACGAGAGGCGTGACGTTTCGTATGTGCACGCGTCTCGCCCGTGAGGCACCCGCCTCGACAAAGGTTTTACACGCGGCTGGTACGTCGACCCCTTTGGTCCGGGCATCCTCTTCCAGAGTCAGGAGAAGTTCGCCTGCCCGGGGCATATACTCTCCCATCTCGAACAGTAACTCGCATCCGCGAGAGAGAGCCTGCTCGTGCGGACCGGGGAGGGGCAAATTGAGCAGAAGAGTCGAAACGGCCGCGTGACAGGCGTAGACCATCCAGCACTCTAGCCGCATCCCAAACGCGGTGCGATAGTGCCAAAGATAGGAGATGAGATTTTCGCAGTGCGACTGGGAGACAGACCGAGACGTTTCACCGCCGTCAAACTCCAGGAACGACAGGCCCATGTACGGTTCGAGGAGCTTGATGCAAACCAAGTCAAACCAGATGCTGTCCCAATCAGCACAAGTCCATTCGTAGGCAGACAGAAATAGAACCTACAGCAAGCTAGCCCAGGCCGGAGGCAGTGTGGTCTGGGCCCTAAATAAGTCTTGGGTTGAAGACCTCCATCCTAACAAGCGGTCGTATAGCCTCTTGGAGGTGCGATAGTCCGGGACTGGACTCGAGAAGGTTTCCTCGATTCCTAAGATAAACTCGTTGGCCAGTCGAGTGAGCCCGTACTCGGCTGTGAGGGCGTAGACACTGTAGGACAACCGCGGTTCCGTCGAGAGAGGGTATGGCATCCAAAGTGAGGATATGTCTTCAGCCTGAGACGGCAGCACTCCAGAGAGACCTAGTGAAGTCGAGGAGCGATTCGCAATCACGCTCATCTTCCTGTGACCGTCCCTGTCAGCATTCAAACTGTACTTTTTTCATGACCAAACCGAGCGGTTGGTATTTACACGTCGAGGCAGTGGAAGCCGTTGGCGATGGATATCATAGCCTCACGGACAGCCTGTGCCATCGAGCCGGCGTGGCTGTGGAAAAGCCATGACGGCCCATCCAGGACCCCCGAAGAGGACTGCAGCGCGCTCAGCTTATCGAAGAACAAGCTTGCCCCAAGCTGCGAATCACCAAACGCCATCTCATGGTGTGAGAGCAGAGCCACGCCCTGCATCAAAGACACCTGGACGCGCTCCTGGTGGAAGCCAAGCAGTCGAAACGCCTCCTCGGCAAACGCGCTGCCGCGAATAGGCGAGCTCCCGTAGTCGTCGCTCTTGTGATAAGAACTCTGCCTCGCTTTCATGTTAGCGAGCACACGAGGCAGTATACACACACTCGTTTTCACGCACCGCTGAAACTGCAAGGATCGCGTTGATCAAGAATTCGGAGCAAAAGTCGGTTGACCGCCGGGCCGTCGGTCCCGGATCTGCGGTGAGACTGTCGAGCAAAAGGCCACGATGCAGAATCCGAGCCAAAGCATGGTCCCAGGTCCAGAACAGCCGGAACAGATGGTTGAGCAGGCCGTCGTCGTTACTTACTGTTGTCCATCGCGATAACAGTGGAACGGCCGTCCCGCTGTCCACCGGATGCCAAGCGAGTATGGACGACGAAGGATTTCCGTCGACCATCGGACGTCGACTTGATTCACCTGCTGAGGTTGTCTTTGGTGGCCCGTTCGTCTCGCCATCAGCCAGAGAGTGATGGCCTCCTGAGCTGTGGGAGGCCCCATGGTGAGTTGGCCCATCTAATAAATGTGTTGTGCCCTGCTCCGCAGACTTGCGTATGGCGTCATATGACTTCTTGACGTGGGCGTATGCATCCTCCAGCTCCACCAAACGCTGCTTGAGCGTCGAACTCGGGCCAGCATATTCGCACCTGGCCCGTGCCGAGAGACACGAGCGGCATGCCGGTCTATGGCCGTCGCACTGCCGCACAGCGCGCGTCAGCACATCAAATGTACGCCCCTATGCACGAGCACGGCGGACTGTGAGTCTACCGACCTTGGCCTTACGCTTTCGACAGCCTCGGGGGCATTTTAGCACCTGAGCAGAAGTCTTTGCACTACTCGTGGGATGGGATGAATGAATGCACCTACGCTCGCATGCTAACTTGACCTGGCTTCTCTTTGGCCTTTGAGAAGAAGCCTCGCCACCGGGAGGGGAGCCCCCTGGTCCGGTTGGCCCGGGGGCCTGGGGTCTGGGGAGGAGCTGCCTGCCCAAATCTGCGCGGTTGCGCTGCATCTCGAGCCTAGGGGCTTTGCGTGGCCCTGGAAAGAATGCTTTGCCGTCGATCAGGAGCACTCACTGGTCGCCTACCAGACCGGCCTGGCTCCTCATTTATGTTTTCCTCACCCGTTGGCCCGTGACGTCAACTTGACACGACCCTCGACCGGACTTTGTCGACAAAGGATGACTCGCTGCGGTGTCACCCGTGGGCGAAAATCCGCGGAATTTTCTCCTAGCGAGACGAGTTACAATGCAGCCTCTCCAACGTCTAATTTGCAACCATTCACAGCGCGCCGTCCACGGGACATATGCGGGGTGAAACGGTGATCAGGTGGCTGGCCACCCACCACACCAACAAGCGTGGCACCAGCACAGACGGCAGGGACTACAAAGTGCCAAACCCTTGAACTCAAATTTGAAGCCGCGTACCGTGGCGGCGGCGCCCGGGGGTCCCTGATATTTTGACTACCTAGCACGCAACGCGGTCTGCAGTCTGCGCTACGCGCCGAAGTTGGCGCCGCGATCATCCCGCTGCACATGAGCCTCGCCCTTGCGCTCCGTCTCCAGCATCGCCTCAACATCCACCTTGACTCCCTCGATCCAAGCCTGCCGAATCCTCCTCGTCGCGGTGAGATCGGACAGCGGATTGCCTTGGACGAGCACGAGATCGGCCCTCATGCCGGGCTCGACAACGCCCCGGTCGTGCAGCCGGAATACCTTGGCTGGCACGCAGGTAGCGGCTCGGAGGACGTCGAGGTTCGACAGGCCCGCCCTGGAGAGCAGCTCCAGCTCGTCGTGAAGACTGGTCCCAAAGGGGATGGATATGCCCCGTTGATGATTAGCGACCGTCCCCGCGCAGATGCGGACGCCGGCCTGATACAGCTGCCTCACCGCGACGACGGCGTGGTCATAGGCCCGCTCGGAGCTGGCGCCGTCTTGCAGCGCCTGGTTGAGAAAGCACAGCGTGGGAACCACCGCGACTCCTTTGTCGGCGAGGCCCTGGACCGTGACCGCATCCAGCTGTCCGTCGATCGGCACGGCCGTGACGACGTCGAAGCCGGCGAGCAGCGCCGCGTCGTACGCCTGGCACTGGGACGCGTGAGCTATGGCGAGCTTGCCGCTCCTGTGCGCTGCGGTGACGACGGCGGCCAGGGTCTCCTGGTCCAGCCCCGGCTGGTCCGCGATGGCCTTGATGTAATCGGCGCGTATGGGGTCGGCGACGAGCTCCTCCACGAGGCGCTTCGCGTCTACGGGCGTCCGCACGCCCCGTACCGTTCGGAATGGGAATGCTCCTCCTGAAGCTGCTGCTTCAGACCCGATGACGCACCCAGTGCCGAGGTAGGATGGCAGTTTCGGGTTCCGGGACTCCCTACGCATGGCCCGGTTCTCTGCGCTCGTGCTGCTCAAGTCGATGATGGTGGTGACGCCGTTCGCCGCAAAGGACGGCAGCGCCGCTGGTGACGCGTTGGCGTCGACCTTGGAGTCGATGAGACCCGGCATCAGCGTGCAGCCGGTGCCGTCGATGGTCACGTCGGCCATTGTCCGCGGCTCTATCACGTTTCCCGGGCTCCCCTCGAAGCACTGGTTGACTATGCGGCGGATGCCAGCGCCATCGAACACGTCGACATCTACTATCGAAGTAATGGTCATGTTTGGGGTCGGTCCGTCGAGAGTCGAGTTGTGGTGCAAGGAGTGACTGGGCATGGCTCTCCCATGGTCGATTACGGGGAGGTAACGGTCATACTTGGGTGTCTGAATCTTTCTGGAGGTGCCAGGGGCTACACAGTCCTTCCGCGGCCAAGGCCCAAGAGCAATCACACCCTCGAATACCCACTTGCTGCGGCACTGATGGCCATGTCGAGGACGCTTCGCGCACGGCTACGTCACAGGACATGTCAGCCGACGCGAGAGCACTGAGGGGCGTCTGGCACTCAGAAGCCGCAACCACTTCGAGAAGACTGGGCGGATGTCTCCTTGGGCAAAGAGCGCAATGTCATTGCGACTTTGTGGATTGCCCGTACGCTGGGGAGGGGGGTTGGTTGGTTCTAGGAGACGTCGCCTCAACTCCTCCTTTCATGCCGGTCCCCACCATGATAGCTGCGCCCAAGGTCTCTCCTGAACGTACAGTCATGCTTCTTCGACGGAAACTTGCGCCCGGGGTAGCTGCGGACCAGAGGTTACTTGCCGTGAAGCATTGGAGCGGCTCTTTACTGGGTGAATGCTGACGCCAGGCCCCTGGGTCATGTCCAGCACAAGCACCGACACAGCAGCCAGTGCGCTTTTGGGGTACCTCAGGCAGAACAAGAAAGAGGGGTTGCAACCATGTGGAATGTGGACTCTAGGCGATATTTGGGGGGCGGTTGTCGAATGCCCGGCCAGCA